AAGGGGAAAACCTATTCTCAAAGTGTCTACCATGCAACAACATCTCCACTTGCTGTACAAGGATGAGGAATGGAGGTTCTGAAAGAGGATTGATTGAAAGGCAGTGGTGATATGTCGATCCATCAGCTCGTCGATTAAGATCGCATCTTACGGTCTAGATACACTTTTTGAAATGCACAAGTAAGAATCAATTTGACACATTAACTGATGAGTCACTCAAGCCTATGGACACAACAGAGAGCCAAATATATACCTTTGATGGGTCCCACAATAACACAAGTATATGAGCATGTTAAAATCGGAAACAATGTTTTCATGTCAAAAGTATTCCCCTCCAGTACCTGCTTAGTTCGGTTAAGGTATATGCAGTTACAGAGAAATATAATTTGTAGGCTCTTAAAATATTAGGTCTTATTAAACTAAACAAACTTAACTATTTTTATTGTACCAGGTAAGACCCAGTGAGCTATGGGGCCATCCATTTAGTAAGTACGCATGGAGGGGGGGGGTTAACCCAAATGTGTACGCCTGCGTATGGGGGACCTACTGACAATGTACGTAGCATAGGAAACGGGGGGGGGGGGGGGGTGAAGCCTCGATAATAACAAATCAGCCAGCGGTGGACTATCTGTTTTCTTAAACATGTTAATATGATTAATCATTGATCGTTTATGCGTGGATTAAATATCGACCGTTCTATAGGATTCGAGGAGGGGGTGCGTCAAGCGAACGTACGCAGGTGGGGGGGGTATACAAATTTCGCGTGCGTCCAGGGAGGGGGGAGGGGTCAAGTTTTTGATAGATTTTTGCGCACGTACTCAATGGATGGCCCCTATACAGCTCTCTTTCAGAAGCGACCTGGCCACAAATGATAGCTCAACGAAGCGACTTATGACGTGAAAATGTATTGTGGGAAAATACTCTAAATGCGTGTTTCTAAATCCACACGACCACGGAGAGAACATGCAAAATTCAAAATAGACAGGCGTTATAGTCGGGATCGAACCACCGGTGGCGCCTTATGTGGCCGCAAATTAAATGAATGGAAGTTTGCGGCCGTATGAAATGAATGTAAGAGGGTTCCCCATCCCTGCCGTACAGGAACACCGCGTGTCTTTGTTGCGTTGTGAATGCTGAAATTTCCTGGCTTTTGCGCGCGAGTGAAAACTCCTCGCCTCACTCACGCCTGATTGTGTCTCTGTCTCCTCACGCTGCCGCTCACCCCTAAAGACTCTGCTGCTCACCCGCAGGTGAGGTCTCCTCCGCTCCTCCCACTTCCTTCCCACTCCCGTTTCTTCCACCTTTCTGCCCTTTTGCTATTTCCCTTGGGCTGACGATCGCGGCCGACGAGTAAAACGCTCGTTTAAAGTGAGACGAAGCCCAAAATGACCTTATAGATTTCTGCACGTCCACGTCAGGTGTCCCTGGCTGTTCGATGTGAATTTAAAGCTTATAGCGAGGACGTAACTAGCGGGTCTGCAATGCTTTTGGAATATGACTCTGTCCTCGTTGCAGAGCACGGTGCAGAAATCATTTTGTTCTACTGTACTTGTGTGCTCCCAGCCTTGATTAGCCTGTACTGACCAGCACGTTGAAGTATGGTCAAATAACCCCGAAGGGTTAAACGTCATGGGAAAGGGGACACCCTTTTACGGCAGTGGATTGACCGAGCGCTGTGCATATACTCACTCATTGGGTACTTGCGAGGCCACATACCGTTTGACGACCTCTCCTGCGTACATATGCACAGTTTACCCTCCTAAAGTTTAATGTTCATAAAACCAATCGATCGATGTTGTATTTGTTACACGAAAAGTCCCATTTAGCCAGTTACCCAGCCTGAGTCTGCAAGGGAGATCTGTGGTGCATCGGCACAGAACAAAAACGGCAGCATCAAAGCGATACGATTCGACAATGGGCTTCCTTCGCTCGAGGTTTTGCGGATTGAGTGGATGTCGTGAGTGAATGTGTGCGGCTCATAGTGCAGCCACCTGTCGGGTTATCCTACAATCAAGAGTCCGATTGTATTTATGTTACAATGAGGCTAACGTGGTGGGGTATCTTTACAATATATCTATGCGGGGTTATCAACGTTTTTCGAGTATGAACCTCAATTGTTGATAACACTGCCGTGCAATGCACGACTGCAGAGGAGGGTTACTCGAGCTGCTTGGTATGATTACCAGTCTTGTCTATGATTTGATCGATTTATTGTGATTGTGAGCGTAATTAGAATCACAAAATAACATCGCGAACGACAACAAGAATAATGTTATTCTTAAAGCAAGATGAACCCTTGAGATTTGCATCTCATCATCAACAAAGGAGGAGAGGGGGGGGATCCTGGCAAACGTATGCATGTTTCAAAGAATATTTGTATAGTACAGTCCACACAAGGCTGGGCTACGAGCTTGTGCTATGTATTGTTCCACTACAACCGACCAACAAAGAGTGTCTAATTTTTTAAGTGTCTACTTCAGGAGAGTACTCAATATAGTTGCACCCTTGCACAACGCCAGTTTAGCACCGATGTGCTTTCGGCTTGTACCGCGTGCTGTAACCCCACGTTGTCTGCTCCGACATCCAACGTATCGCTTCACGCGCTGTTCGGCGCCTGGAGTAGCTCCCATCACGTAGAGCGAAATGTCGGACGTCGTGCCAAACGCCACGTGATCCGACCCGAAAACACACGAGAGAGCTGAATGTAGTCGATGTAGAGCTAAAGCTGCACGGACTAGAATTATTCCCTACGGAGATTAGTTACTTTGAGCGGGGTTTCTTCAAGCGTAATTCCTTGCGATCTGCCGCATGGGTACGGCCTTGTGGGTTCACGCAGATATGGATTGACGACGACGTGTGACGCACCACTACAGAGTGACTGTCACGATGTGGTACAGCAAGTTGGGGTTTCGTCTCTCTGTTGTGACGTTTTAGAGTGCTGTCATGATCGCACGTGTGCGCTGGTTTCCTCCAGACACACGGTGGCTGTTGTCGCACGCAATGCAACAAAATCCCATTCGGGCCACTTGGTGAGAGTCGACGATGGCGAGACCCTCAAGGGTACATATAAAACGCGTACAGTGCTCTTTGCGTGTGCTGGAAGTGGGTGAGCTCAATGTTTTGCGAAGCCATTGGCGGTCCGGTCTATCTCCCACGCACGTGCTCACACTCATTGATCAGGCTTTGTTTCCCTCCTCCCCCGCACCTTCATTTCTCCCTCCTATTCATGTGAAGTCCCCCCCCCCCGCGGTAATTAGCACGGTTGGCTACGTACGGTGCAAAAGAAGTTCAACATGCGTACGCATGTGCTTATCAGTGTCGGATTAACTGAAAAATACGCCAATGCACAGGGAGTTTAGTCTTTGAAGAAATAAGCTGACCATAGCACGACAATTAAGACATTGTTCACATTCGGCGGCAGTGGCATCTCCAGAACACCCTTTTTTCTTCTTTCTTTTGCTGTCAAAGCAGCTTAAATTCTAGGCAGTTGCAGAAGTTTAATTGTCATCCTCTAATTATTAACCTCATCGCCTTGCAAACCAAGTAGTGTTGTGTGTTCCTTCATCCCGGCCTGGCATGAATGAGGTGCATTGGCACAGTCCCGTAGTGCCAAAGTGAATCGGATATTGGCTCAACCATTTTACACTGCGTCAGGTGCCATGTACATACTCGATGGCTGCATCAGTGCCCAAGATGCACGAGTGGGGCACTCTGCTTAAAGACTGGGCTGGGCTGGGCTATTTCCCAGATGGCATGGTTTAAATAGAATGCTAGACTTGGATCAAAATCAGAATCAGAAATCTTTATTTTTCCTGGAGGAATCCGATGAGCCTGTGAAGCTGTTTTTCACAGATGTCCAGATGCAATGTACCGTAGAGATATTCACACCTCCGATTAACACGGTTGGCTATGTACTACGGTGCAAAGCATGTTCAACATACATACAAACTTATTCCATGTCATACTAAAGCAATGGGTTCTTTCGTACAAATATGTCGATCTTTTCTTTCAATTACATGTGCGCACATCGAGCTTAATTGGCTTGATGGGCTCAATGTGGTTGCCAATATGAATGCTATCTTGCCAACTCCCACACTGCGTATCCTGTTGTAGCCATCGTGCCAGGTCCCACAATGCACCACTTATGATCGTGTTCTATGAAATGCAGTCGTGCCGCAGTTTTGACAGCACTCCTGAGAGTCACTTAATTTCCTTTGTGGGACATTCTGAGATGACACAGCCTTGGGGGATGCAGTGACAGAATAAGAGATGCTTGACTTTTGGAAGTTGTCTTCCTTTAATTAGTCATAACTTTAAAGTAAGAAGTGCAGTCCAAATGTGTTTTGCTTGGAAAACATTGTTTTGTGAGCATAGTTTAGGGTAGTGATTTAAAAAATATATTTGTAGAGTGTTTACTTTGTAAGTAGAGAGGTGAAGTGATACACCGATTAATTAATTAAATTAACGCTTGGGTTTTCGCAGCCAATATTACGATTCATAGTTATATATATTTTTTTGAGGCCACGTCATGATCTGGCCAAATTTCTGTCCTGAGATGCTGCATCACCCAACATGGCCAGGCAAATTAAAATTCCGCGTCGTGTAAAACAGTTTTAACGTGCCATTTATTTTTGTTTCAGCTCGCCAGTAATTTGAAGACCAATTTTCACAACCAAATTTTGTACCTTAATTGCTACCACCAAAAATTTACTTATACCACATGATGAATAAGTAACATTTAGGTGCATCGTTCGAAACACCTTCCAGGCCCATATCTTCCAGCGGCATTTGTTTTTGCAGAAAAAACCCCCCGCCACCGAGTTTCGACTTTCGGGGCTTCAACAGAGTACGGCCTATTTAAACAAATTCAGCCGGTGATACATTTTGTACGTACGCATGTACGTTGAACTTTTGCGCCATACGTAGCCAACTGCGCTATATCGGAGGTGCACGACAGTAACCTGTTTGTCTGTCACCACCGTTGTGTTTTTCTCACGCAGGATGATCCGCAATATGCCCATTGAGTCTCCGCGGGAGCTCTTCATGAGGGTCGCCATACAGATCTTTGCCGACGGAACCTTCAACTGGGGCCGCGTCGTTGCCCTCTTCTACTTTGCCTATCGCCTTGTGATGAAGGTACATCCCTCGGGGAACACAACCGCACGCTACCAGGCCCTTTGGCTCCGTTGTAAACTACAATAATAAACTAAACTATTTTTTTATATTTATTAGGTAAAGGCCCGCTGAGCTATATAGCTCTTTTTCAGAAGTGACCTGGCCACAAATAATAGCTTAATGAAGTGGCATATGTGCAAATGTATCGCAGCAGCCAAATACTCTAAACACATGTTTCTAAATGTGGAGGTGAAAACTGAAGGAACCAGAGAAAAATCCACGCGATCATGGGGAGAATATGCAAACTCCAAATATACAGGCATCAGGGTGGGGATCAAAGCCACGACCTCCTGTATGCCAGGCAAGGTAGTTAACAGCTTGTCACTTTGATGATGATAATGCACAGCCCTTTGTCCGTCTATGACTGGACGAAAGCTTTCTCTTGCAGTGTCGGTTGTGGCGGCTGTTTGACCGTACTTTACCGCACTGGTCAGTGCAGGGGTGGCGAGGGGAAGGCTAAGATGGGTCTCTCATGGTCTCATCGTCGGTACAACAATCCACCGCTCCATCTCCACTGTAGGTTCTCTCTCGGGCAGGTTTCTGCCAGCATACAGTAGAAGCTGGATATAAGCACAGCTGTCATTAGCAACCACATGCTTAGATTACACTGGGCAACTTCTGCTACAAGCACACGGCTGTGGATGTAATCACAACTGGCCTTGTTCCCAACGGGTATGCTTCTATCCAGCCTCTGCTATATATGATTCGGAACAAAATTAATTCTCGCGTGCATGACTTGTTTCACCACGAGTGTGAGAATTGATTGAAATTAAAGATGCATTGTGCCTAATAGAAAACCGTTTGTAATTCCAAAGAACCATTTTTAGTCTCCGTATTTATTCACGTTTGTCCTGTTTGCATTGTCTCGATTTCATTGTCTCCTTCGTTCTGGGTTGTTTGTTCTTGTCTGCATCGTTAGGTTAGCCTAAAGGTGACATTTGCATGCAATTTGCACAGGACCCGCCTATACGATTCAGTGCTTCTACTGTGAGCATAATAAAGGACTTTAATCAATGCAACATTTCATTAAATTACATCGTCAGTCATAGACACCGTCAGTCATGGAAGGTCTTGAGCATTTGAAAAGGTTCAGCATCAGTGCATTCGCCACTTGTTGCAGAGGTTCACTATTCGATTCCGGTGGCCGCCCTGGTCATATTTGCAGGTGCAGCACCCGTAATAATACGCGCCGTCTGCCTCACAGTGGACGCTAAAGACCTCCTGACGTCATTTGCAAGAGTAGGCCATTGTTTTGCCAGCGTTAGGGATCGAATTTTCCAAATTCTAATGTTTCCCACAAATTACTCAATTGCAGACCAAATGCCCCAGGTCACTTGCAAATTATACTCTCCTGGTCTTCGTGGGTTCTCACCTACTTTTAAACAAAATTAACTGCAAACTGACCAGGGGATTATCTCAACAGTGTGAATTTCCAAAGAAAAAGGAATTCCAGAAAATGGAGGCAAACGGCAGAGAAAGAGTGATTTTTCCATTGGGCAAAGATTGAAGTGGGGTTTTGACACGGGACCTCGATTGTTGCAGCAGAGAGCTCCGTCGAAGGCTTGGTGTGAGATGAAAGGGGGGAGAGAGGTAGGCAGAGATGAGCCCATGGAGAATCTTGGCTGGCCTGGGAACCGGCGGAATAATCTAACTATTTGGGTGACGTGATCTCGTTTCCGGTTGAGGACTCTTGTGGAGTTTGTTGTGTGTGGGGGTGATCCGGGGAGGTCGTCGGTGGTCACATGCTCGCACGTGTGCGTGCGAGCATGCGTCACACCTTCGTCCTTTGTCTAATGCCTGCGCCTGTTGTTTGTTGATTTATCCCCAGTTGCCGAGCTTCTTTGTGGCACAGGCCTTAAGAGAGCGTAGCACCGTGACACTGATTATTAGAGTGGATGAGGGGGGGGCTGCTGCTTGTGTTGAGTCAGCGGTGAATACATTTACAAACCGCAGCGGCGCAGTCAGAGCAACGCTTCACTTCCCAAAAAAAAGCAAAGGCTTTTTGCAGCCAGGAGAATGTTTTCTTCCATGCTTGTTTTATGAGCTTTAATTTTGCTCCATGTTATCCCCCACCTGTGCCCGTTGTCACCTGATACTGCAAAACGCAGGGCAGAGTCTGGGAGTCTCGCCTACCTCCACCTAACCCCGTCTACCCCTCCCCCCACCCACACACCTACCCCAACTTTGCCGAGCATACATTGCAAAATTTTTGTTTCCAGCTTTGCGCAATCATGTTCCAGTACAACATTGGCCATGCACCTGCTTGTCTGGTTTTAAGTCAGCACTTTACAACGTGACCTGGAAGTGCCCTGGGACCTGTTGGTACTGCCCTGGCTGCCCTGGCTGTCTGTGGAGTTTGTCGTCATTGTCACCATTGTCGTCGTCGTTGTTGTTGTGTCGCCAGCGTTGCTCCTCCCCTCTCCCGTGTCTCTCCCCGCACTGAACACCTCCCCCCACCCCCCTTTTTGTTTTCGTAATTTTTAAGAAACGTCTTGAGGTGCAATTGTCACTCATGTAGTTGTTGTGACTCGTTGACAGGTATGTAATGATTCAATTTTGAGAAATAATTTGGTGAGACAGGCCGTTGGCAGTGGTGCATGGGCACAAATAGCCCAAAAAAACAACAACCAAAACTCTACATTTACGTCAATAACACCGCCATACAAAAGAAAAGGTATATAATAGGTAATGTTACGGGCAATGGCCCTTCACAGCACAGAGAGAGAGAGGGCAGAGCATTCGATGCAGGAGCAGAAGAGTCAGGTTTAGGAAGCTAACTGCAAGTCAGTTTTGACCGTTTTAAGTCTCATTAGCAGCATGGCACTCGTTAAGCAAGCGCAGTGCATTTGCCACACGTTATTGGCAGGAACACTGCGCCTCTATAGTCCTGTCAGCACGACAAGTTCTAGTATAGAAAAACTTCATTTTGCACTGCGGGACCTTCTACTGTATAACGTAAGACTGGAAGACCCCTGGGCCGATGGACTAAATATGTTTTATTTTATTTGTATGTGTCTATTTTTTATAAAGTCGATTTTATTTGACGCAGTTCTCTACAGTAGCATATAATGATTTTAATGCGATATTGGTCTGTGCTGACAAGGTCCGCATTGTTTAGATGCAGTGCTCTCGGCAATAACATCTGGCAACCCTGCAGCATTGTTTTTTCAGGCATGACTGCTGACGAGACCCAGGCGGTCATGCCCGGTCCAGAGTTTTACTTAGTTAAAATAATCAAACAAATGTTGCCTGATAATATTATTCTCACGGCTGCCCATGATGTTCATGAACTTGGTGGACAATTCACAAAGTCTGTTAATTTATTATAACAAAGATCCCACTCTGAGCCTTAACAGACATTGGGGCAAGTGCTGTTTGTGAGCACCTAATGAAGGCTGGCATGGGGAGGGTGGCCAGCACCACGCCCGGCCATATTTGTCTCCTTAGTGGCGATGTTTAAACACTGCACCAGGTACTCATTTGTGGCCAAGTCGACATTGGGGAGACTGATGACCTGTTCAGATAATCGTTACTGGTGTTGGCCACGAACAGTAATTGAACTCGGGTCACGGGGTTCGTTTTCGAACCGGGCGACCCGAATAGAGCCGCGAGTTGCTGCTGTGTGAGTCATCCCCACCTCCGCTGTGTGAGTGATGCCACCGCTGTGGCCTTACGCCATAACGGTTTAGAGGGATTGGCCTTGTACGATGAAATGTTCACACTGCCGAGCGTGTACGTGCGTGTGGGTGCATAACTCTATCAACGTCTCTCAAACTGCCGTCTAATTCTTTCGTAATAAATAATACCGGGATGGTGGTCGCTTGCGGAGGCCTTTATCCAGCAGGGGATTGATCATGATCAGTGGTGCTTGATGATGATGGTGATGAGCACTCTGGACAATTGAAAGTCTTCACTTATTGTTTCAAACGTAGTTTTTCATCTGTCGTTTAAAATGTTATTTCCCTCAACTGGTAACCAGCAGGTCGTGGGTTTGATCCCGACCCTGATGCTTTTTGTATATTTGGAGTTGGCATCTTTGAAGTTGGCGTATTCTTTCTCTCCATGGTGGTCGCGTGGATTTTTCTCCGGGTCCTCAAGTTTTTACCTCCACATTTAGAAAACATGCGTTGAGATTATTAGACTTACTTTAAATTCCCAAATATGGTGATAAGCCTCTTCGATGAACTATCATTTGTGATCAGGTCGCCCCTGAAAAAGAGCTAATAGCTCAGTGGGCTTTGCCTGGTTAAATAAAATAGTTTCGTTTTTATTTTAAAGACCGTGTAACATGTAGACGCTGTATGAATCCCAACACTAACCATATTGTATCGTATAGCCCCTGCCTACTTCTACCCTCATCGCACTCTACTCCCCTCTGTGCATTCTGCGCTTCAGTAGCAGCAGCCAAAGATTCCTGTAGAAGCCTCTCGTCAACCCTCAATGGGAAGTCGCTCATTCTCTCTCTATTAAACAAGTATTCCCGCTGTAATGGCATTTTGAGATGGAGTCGCATTTCTACGTGGTACATAAAATCCACATTGCACCATCACGCATGTAGCACGAGAGGCGTCCAAGCGTCTGCGAACGTTTACCCGCAAGTGTGAGTGGAGCCGTTGGCCCGCCGCCGCCGCTGCTGCCGCTGCGTGAGTCATCCCCGCCTCCTTGTGGGGGCGCCGCGTCCCGTCGCTCTGGCGCCCTTGAGCGCAGCGCGTCGGGTCTTGCTGCGCAACTTTAGCAGCGCTGGGCTGTCGTTTGCAGCCAGGAGGCTTTCGTTTGCAGCCAGGAGGCTTTCGTTTGCAGCCAGGAGGCTGTCGTTTGCAGCCAGGAGGCTGTCGTTTGCAGCCAGGAGGCTTTCGTTTGCGGCCAGGAGGCTGTCGTTTGCGGCCAGGAGGCTGTCGTTTGCGGCCAGGAGGCTGTCGTTTGCGGCCAGGAGGCTGTCGTTTGCGGCCAGGAGGCTGTCGTTTGCAGCCAGGAGGCTTTCGTTTGCGGCCAGGAGGCTGTCGTTTGCAGCCAGGAGGCTTTCGTTTGCAGCCAGGAGGCTTTCGTTTGCAGCCAGGAGGCTGTCGTTTGCAGCCAGGAGGCTGTCGTTTGCAGCCAGGAGGCTGTCGTTTGCAGCCAGCAGCGTGTTTCGCTGCCGAGGCGTCTGCTGTAACTCGGTCGCGCTGGCCGGTTTCACTTTGGCGGTCACGTGCCGTATATAATCTGTTTGACTTGTTCTCATTGAGTGAGTGTGGTTGATTCGAATGAAAGTCGTTTATAGGACGGATATTCATGCATGTGTGCTTCCAAAAAAAAACTTTCAAACAGGATAAACATTGGTTACGTTCTTTTTATTTCGTCACGTTTTTTGTTTGAACAAGGTAAGGGGTTCTATTTGAATCACAGCCTCATGCAGAAGGAAGCGATGGCGAAGTGTGGTGGCATCGGCAGTATTGGCCGTGACGACCTCTGACCCTTGACAATTTCCCTACAGTACACGAAGCTGTTTTGACTCCAGTGAACATTAATTTTTAACACCACAAAGGTTTTGAATCCAGGGCGTATGATCATGATTTCTTGCTTGGCTGCACATCATGAGATTGTATTCTGTCAAAGTAGTGCCGCCTGGTTTGTGTTTCTCCCCTGAGCAGGGTGGGGACTGCTGCTTTCTGTGGCTTTAGCCTGACCTCTGCCCTCTGCCATGTGTCTGTTCTCCTGTGTGTACATCGTGCTGTCTGCTGCGTACAGCTCTCGCAGTCTCGAGTGGGGTCTGCTGTGTCTACAGCCAACAGTTTCGTGGGAAGATTCACCCCCGTGCCTACTCAATTTAAGCGTCGTGCTTTTGACGTCGCTGTGAATGGTTCTGCCTCCAGTGGCTGCAGGGCTGATGCAAACACAGTGCATGCAATATGGGATGCACTTTTTGGTTGTTGTAAAGTGTGTTTTTTTCCGAAAGAATGTTTTTTTTTTGCTCTCTCAGAGACGCGGTCACAATTTAGACGCGGTAAAAATACAAATCATTCATTGTAATTGCAACACAAACGAAACGAAAAACGTCAATTCGTACGCGCTCCCGGCGCGCGTATCGTGCGTTTGAAAATCGAAATTAAACGATGATGCGAAGCATCGTTCCTCCCCTCCCCCCATACACATTCTTCTCTGCCTTCTCGGCGGCGGTATCAACTCGTGAGGTTCATGAGATCAATAACGATGGCGTTTCGCTTGCAGCTACTTTGTCCCGCACCGCCGCCCCGCAAACCCCCCCCCCACCCCCCATAACTGTGCAGTGGCGAAACTCACACCGGCCCAGTGTTGTGCGACCTTTTAGGCAGCGTTAGTCATTCCGTAGGCTCGTAGGAGGCCGCTTGTGGTCAGCTTGAGGTGTTTGCTTTTTCCCCCCTTTCCCGAGCCCCGTCATCCGAACAAAGACCTCGGAATTGCTTCGGCCAGCTGTATTAGCGTTTGCCCGCGGGCTGGGGCCGCTTTCATTGTGACGCATTCTAATTCCTCCCCCTGTTTGTGTCGGGAGTGCTTCACTCGTCAATGCGTTGGCGATACTGCTATATGGGGAGGTGTTGGGGAGGGGGAGGGGGGGTGAGCGATATCTGAGCCCGGTCCGATGGGCAAGTCCCCGTCCCCACCCCCCACCCACTTCAGCAACCCACACTGATGACCGGCACGGTGAAGTATGGTTTAAAACAACATTCATCACCGACGAGGCGTGGTGTGGGAGGGGGTGGAGGCATGCATCCAGAAGCATGTGGTTGGAGGAAAAAAACAAACGCACCCGTTGGGCATGAGTTCTAAGGAACGCTTGGCAGCGCACCGGTGTTTGCAAGCGAGGGGGGTCGCAGCTAAGAGGGATTTTTTTCGAGCGGGCGGTGGCGTTGCGCTCGTTAATTCAAACGCGATGACTCACTCGCCCCCCCCCATCGCTACACCGGGCGGGCGGCGAGTAATGAAACTCGAGCGGTCTGCGTGCAGCAGACCTCGCCCGCCCCTTCAAGCCACACCATTGTCCACAGTAACATTTACCTTCTGCAGTTCCTTATTCACGACATAACTTCATAACTTCCACACACCGCCCCCCACCCACCTCCCAAATGTGTACACTGCATGCACTTGTATATATGGTTTAACTTATTTCGCACCGTACCTATTCAACCGTGATTATTAGAGGTGCGGGGGAAGGACAACAAAATAAACACAAAAAGCGGTTCTAAAGATATGAGTTTTAAATCTACATGATTTAAAGTGCAAAGCTCCCAGTAGCTTCCTAATCTCAGAAGGAAGAGTGTTCCAGACGGCCGCAGAAGCGTATCTGAAAGCGCTACACATTGACCGTCTTTATTTGATGCTTCGGGAAAAAGCCACTGCGAGGGTGACTGAAGTTCACATGATGATGGTTTATGCCCCTTGACAATATCCGCAAGGTATTAAGGTTGATTTTTGGCAAGCACTTTGTGTGTAATGAGTGCGAAGCTTTTCTTACCAGCCAGTCAAGAACAGATCCTCGCAAAGCACTTTAATATTACAATGACTTTGTGTTTTGGGTTTTTTACGTTTTAGTGTTGGCGGCATATTTTGACAGAGTTGGTATTATTGACCAATGTCTGTGTTTAATGTTTGCACTCATTGGTACGCTCTCATAAAAACATGTGTTTTGTTTCCTTCGCTTTTGTTCCTCAAACAGGGGGGGTTGCTTGTGCTCCCAATTATGTATTTAATATTTGTGTGTGCGTGGACATGTCACGTTTGTGTCGTGTGCATTTAATGTGTTTTGTCTTGGCATATGTTCTGTGTGTGCGTGTCATGTGTGCATCACGTGCAAACGATGCGTGTGCAGGCTTACTGGTTGTCAGTCCTCCGTATGTGTGTTGAGTTTTGCGTGTGTTACGTGTGTGCTAACACGTGCACTAATACGTGCGCTAACGTGTGCATGCGTGTGCTGTGCGTGTTGGCGTGTAGGCCTACAGTAGACAACTGCTGGACATTGTGAAGACGATCATCAGCTGGGCCGTTGACTTTATTCGCGAGCACGTTATACAATGGATCCGCGAACAGGGAGGATGGGTGAGTTGAGATGCGAGCTCGTGCACAAAGAGAAAGATCCCCCGTTTTGCCTTAACAGACTGTTAGGGCAAGTTCTGTTAGCGAGCACCTAAGAAGCCTACCACGGCACATGAAGGGGTGGGTGGCCAACTCCACGCCCGGCCACCTTTGTCTCCCCAGTGGCGATGTGTTACACACTGAGTCGACCTAGGGGAGTCCCATGACCGGTTCAGATAATCGTCACTCGTATTGTGCTGTGAGCGGGAATCGAACTCGGGTTGCCGGGGTCGTAGTGTAGCCCGCTAAACGTTACACCACCGCTCCCCACAACAACAACAACCACCGCAATTCGCCACTAAGTGGCGGTAATGTCACCACGACGCTTGTGCCAGGCTATGTGCACATTGAGGCCACGTGAAGTGTCGAACGCCCGCTGGCAGGAGGTCACGGGGCAGACCCAGGTGCCACGGGTCGACTGACTGAAATGACTGGCTGATGTACCACCTGTGCCCCCTACTGTGCCAACTTGCTGTGCTTTAGCCACCCGGCGCTCCACTCATTGTTGTGAGCATCGCTCCTCCGCCCTCCGTTGTTGTTGGAGGGCGACTGCCTCCAACTGCCCAGTAGCGTCCTTCACGAGCCTCCTCCACAGAGGCCGATCTTGACACCGCTGGTACCAGTCATCAGCAAGTCCACTCAGCTCCACATCCTCCTGTACCACATCACTCCATCTCTTCTCTAGCCCATGCCGCACCTGTTTAGCCCCCCCGATCCGACCGAACAAAAGCTGTTTAGGCATGCTGTGGCTGGGCTTTTGGGCTACATGACCCAGCCAATGCAGCCTTGCCTGCCGAAGGAGCGCACCGATGGGACTTTGTCCAGATCTTTCAAGGATTTGTGAGCTCCTCACACAATCCAGCCTGGTTAAACCCAAGATGGATCGTAGGCAGGCTAGCCTAAATGTTTCTAACCGGCGAAGATGTTCCATTAGGGAGGTCCACGTTTTGCAAGGGTAGAGATGGGAGGGAATGACTGGCCGAGAAGAACTGAAGCTTCGTGCGGAGCGACAGTCCAGGTAGCTTCCACACAGCATTATGCAACTGATGAAAAGATAATGCCACTCGACTGATTCGCAGTGAAACCTCCACAACTGCCCTATCACCAATTGGGAGTTGTGGAGGTGGAGTGTCCGATGGTATAAAATACCCAGGCAGGTGCTTAGTTTTGGTGGGGCTCCAGGTTCAGTAGCAGCGCCTCCAACTCCTCCTCTGAGTGAGCAGCAATTACCAGATCATCGGCATACATAACATGGTTGACCAATAGGGACAATCCCTTGACCGCACCCAGGCCACGTAGTTTTACCCGGGCCCACTCACCATCATGAAGGTTCTTAATGATCGTGAGCAGAGGGTCAGGGACTCCGAAAGCACGAAGAACAACCCAGAGCCCAGGTCTACTGATACTATCATAGGCCTTGACCAGGTCAATAAAGCAGAGATGTAGGTCTTGTTGGAATTCCCTATACCTCTGCTGTAGCAGACGGACCGCCCTTTCCTGAAACCGCATTGGGGCTCCGGAAGCCTCTCCTCAACGTACCTAGCAAGGCGATGTTGAATAATCTTTGCCAGGGCCTTTCCCGGCAGACTGAGGAGTGAGATGCATAAGTAACCACGACCACCACTCCTCGCCTCTGGTTGATGGGAAGGCGAGCCCAAAGTAGCCTGGGGCTTACAGCTTCCCACACCTCACCGCCACACTCCTACGCCCCCTTCATTCTTTTGTTCAGAAGTAGAGCCACTCCCTCTTGTTTGGCAGTCTCTTACTCCGAGAAGATGACTGTCCACCCCTTGTGGTGGTAGGAGCCAGAGCCGGTCTACCGGACCTCCTGAATACCACAGAGATCCAGGCAGTGCCGGTCCAGCTCCCGACAGAGGAGTGACAGCCTCTCCTCCATAGTGAGCGTTTGAACATTCCACTTGGCCACCCGCTAAATGGGGTTTGGCAAGGAGACGTCATCGACGCCTGTCCCCCCGGGGCCTCCGGCAGAAGCTTAATTAAAATTGTAATTTAGTGGTAATCAATTGAAGGTGGAGGGGTTACCAGCCCCTCGCACCCATCCAGAGCCCCCATTTGGCCGCTGTGGTGGTTACAAACGCCATGAGGGGAATGGCCAATTCTAAATTGGCCCACCCCCCACGGTACTGCTCACCACAGCGTTGCCGTCCGGCACCATTGATGAGGTAGGGGGTTGTTTTTGCCCCTCCCCACACACGCATACTCATGCATAACGATGGCAACGACAGCAGCTGCCATTCGCCACCATTTGATGGCAACGCCACCACGGTGCTTGCGCCAGGCTAGACGCACTTTGAGGCCACTTGGAAGTGTCGAAGGCTTGCTGAGCAGGAAGTCGCAGGATGGACATGGATTGTTATGGGTTTAACGGACGAAAGCCACCAGCAGATGCACCAACCTCCGCTCCTCCCTGCGGCCACTTCCTGCGTTGGAACCACCCGACGCTCCGATCATTGTCGTGAGCATCGCGTATACGCGCGCGCACACACACGTCGGAGGCCACATGGTGCGTCATTCCTGGAAGATAGCGTGCTCCACGTGGAAGCAGAATTTTGCGTGCGCCCACGCTCATGAATTTTGCATAGATATCTTTAGCCAGGTCAATGTCTATTGTTACACATCTCGTTTTCAAGAGAGACCTATGGGAATATAGAAAATTACAAGCAGGGAGACACAAATGCCAGGTTAGCTAGCATCGTGGCGTACAGTTTAGTAACAGCCTTTATTTTACTTTTTTCACAAGCTCAGAGCCCGTTGAGGCTACGAGTTTATTTTTCAATGAACAAATAACCAATTTAATATCATAAACCTGATATATCAATGGCAATTACAATGTCAATAAATCAAAGGACACAGAGTATATACATGTTAAAGGATGTACCAATTTACAGTAAAATTTATATAAGCTGTGGAATATGGTAATGAAGAGATTACGATTTTTATTTACACAGTTGCTGAGTGAAGTCCGAAAGGCCCAAAGCGTCGAGCAGCCAGCAACCAACATCACTACCAAAGCTGTACTGTACTATATAAGAGTTAACAAGTTACGTGATATTATTTAAATGAATGAAACGATTACATATGCGCCGATGAACGTTTTATGTTGGACCGCATCAAGACAAGACGGACACAAGAAATCGGTTTACTTGCTCGCACTTTTTAAACGTGGAGAAACATTCCTGAATGCACTTTTACAAGTGACGGTGCTCTCTCTCACCCTCGCGTTCCTGCAGGAGGGCGTGCGAACATACTTCGGCTCCAACACCTGGCATTCGTTGACCATGTTCGCGGCCGGAGCGCTCGTGAGCGCCCTCGTCTTGTGGAGGATAAGATGAAAAACGCCTCCCCGACCGATCCCACCGCCACCCGTCGCGATTACGCGAAGGCGGCCGCCCTTGCGATGTTGTCGTCCTCCCGTCTTCTTCCCAGGGGTACCCTACCGTCTTCTTCGTCTTCTTTTCTGGGCACTGTGGTGGCGAGATGTAAACTCCCTTGCCCGGTATGCAGGAATTCGTGGGTTCGATCCCGATCCCGATCCCGACCCCTACCCCCGACGCCTGCATGTTTGGAGTTTGCACGTTCTCCTCAGTGGTCACGTGGATTTTTCTCCGGGTCCTGTGGTTATTCCCTCCACATTTAGTAACGTGCGTTTAGAGCTGTAAATGTCCACACGGTGAGCCACTTCATGGGGCTTTCATTTGTGGCCAGGTTGCTTCTGAAAAAGTGCGATATAGCTCAGTGGGCCTTGCCTGATAAAATAAAAAATAATTGAAATAGTTCAGTTTAGTATCCCGTCCCTGACCGTCCGCACCACTCTTTCGCCAGACAAGTCTTAACGCGTTCGCCGCCCCCCTCCCCCTCGCGCGTGCATCCGTGTGGTCACTGCTCTCCTGGAGCGTGAGCTCCTGGCGTAGGTGGATGAGCCCCGCGTCCGCGGGTGGTGATGGGAAGCGAAGTCAGTCTGTCGGTCAGTTTTGTCTGTCCGTCTCGTGCCGATGTTGAGTGGAGAAGAGTTCTTGTTGCTTGGCTCTACTGTAAGCCCAGACACTGAATTTAACCAACTTGATGGTTTTTTTTTTTAAGGAGGCTGATGTAATTGTTGACTTAACGTGATCATGTAGGATGAATTTGATTAGCAGGTCTCACACCGGTAGCAAAAATTATAATCTTCGTAGTCGTATAATGGCAGTAATTAAAATAATAAAAGTCATATTTTACTTTACTAATCAAACTTATTTTTAAACAGCCTAATTTTCGTAATTAGTGTCAGGTATAACACCTTTACAAACATCGACTCTGTATAACATTCATAGTTCCTTAAGTGATAAGAGAGTAATGTGTTTATTTTAACGGACTAAGAACCAAATTTGTATTTTAACGGTTTACGGGAAGTGTAGTAGAAAGTGTGTTTTTTACTAAGCATTTTTTTAATTAACTAATCAGCGCTCGATCATGCCCTCCGCTTATAGATGCAGAGCAGCAGTGCAATTTAAATCGGGATGGAGCGGCGTCGCAATTGGACGACGTTACAAGCCTTGCCCTAACAACCCGTCGAAATCATCCTTCTCATCACCAAATTGAGCATGGCTCGGCCATTTGAGATGCGCGAGTGGTGTGAGTGATATGAGACTGTGTAGCAGTCAGCGCGCCACGCTACGAACATGAGGACTGGAGTTCGATTCCCGCTCACGACCAAAAAACTATATTTGAACCGGTCCTAGGCCTGCCCTAGGATGACTTGGCCTCAAATGAGTAGCTTGTTTGATGCGTAAATGTCGCCACTAGGGAGACGAAGGCGGGCATGGTGCTGGCCACCAACCCCCTCGTGTAGTGTGCCAGCCTTATACAGGTGCTCGCTAACAGCACTTAACCCAATAGTCTGTTAAGGCGAACACAGGGGATCTTTATCTTGGTGCTGGGGACTAACAACTAAAATTTGAAATAAC